TTGGGAGGCATGAGATCAGAGCCAGTAGCATGAGCTGAGTGCAACCTGCCAGGCTGAGTGAGTGGAATAAGCTCAGTGGGCCTGAGTAAAATTCGGGCAAAGGTGCTACTGGCCATAGAGGTTTCCAGCTGGCAAAACAACACCCCTAAGGATCCTGTGACAGGATTGGCTTTAACAAGCATGACTCTTCTATCTTTGGAGGGGAAATAGAAAAAGATGGATAGGTATGAAGATTTGTTGGTGAGAAGCTGAAAGAGCTGCCATCTGATGACTCCTGTTTTAACTGTTGGATGGAAAGTCGTCATCTGCCAAGAGGCTAAGAGTAAAGATGATTTTGTTGTTGTTAGGGAGTACAAGAGAGAAAGCCATAAAGAGGACAGAAATTTGAAGTGAGTGGAAATATTTCTTGTAGAAAATGGAAAGAAAGCAAACTAAAAATACAAAGAAGGAAAGTCTAGTAATGTTGAGAGCCCAGTTGAATTTAATAGACATGATTTTACAAGAGCACTACTCTGCTATGTAATTTTTCTCTTGCAGTGTTCAGTACCTCCAGTTTTAGAGTGCAGTTGTTTGCGGATCTAAGAGATGCTTAGCAGGCAAGTGGATAAGTATGAGTTTGGAGCACAGCAGAAAGATAAAAATAATGGATAGAAAGATTCAGAATGCATTATTGGTCAATGAAACCATGGCTATAATTACAGCTATGCAGGGAAGTCTGACAAGATGACCGAGATAGGACTCTAGGCAAGATCAACATTTAAAAAATGGACAACAGAAATGGCACTCATAAAGGAAATCAGAAGGTTGGGGAAAGCAGACAGAAAGAAAACCAGAGTATATGACCTTAGCAAGGGCAGTTTCATGTAATAATGTGGCTGGAAGAACAATTGGACTGAAGGGCAAAAGAGAAGGCAATAACTGAAAGGAAACAGTGTTTCTGTTTCCTTTCCAACAAAACTGTGGAAAACACAGTTTTTTCCAACAGAAACTGTGTTTCTGTTTTCTATTTTCTATTTGTGTGTGTGTTTTTTTTCTTTTTCTTTTTCTTTTTTCTGTAAGATGGGACACACTTGAGAGAGCAGAAAGGGAGAGGATAGAGATTTAAGGAAAAAAATGACACATAAATAAATTCCAAACTATATTGATTGAAAAATGTTATCCTTTACTGTAACTTACCATGTTAAAAATTGTGACGTCCAATACACTACCCTCCAGAAAATTGGCATGATTCCATCAGGAATGTAACTCCATGGCTTGAAACAAGGATGCTGGCTGTTGAATAAAAGTTAAAGCCAATTAATCATAAATAATTATTTAAATGAATTATACACTTAATTTGCAGTGGCCAAGTTAATTTACATTCAGATTTTAAATTATTGACTCTAATAATCAATAACTCATAAAATTTCACAGAAATTTTAAAATTCAATGTTGACTGCCAAAAGAAAAAAACACACAAAAGCAACAAAATAGTTTTTTCTGAAAATGTCATTTAAGTTTTCAACGTTCAGTGTATTTTTAGTCATTGGGTAAAAAGAAAACTTAATGTTCAACTAATAGACTAAAAGTGCAACAATCATTAAAAGCAAATGTATTATGAAATAAAATTTCTAATGATTATCTTTAAAATACACAACCCATTCATAGGTTGAGGTTTTTTTTTTTTTTTTTTTTTTTTTTTCAGGTTATAGGGATTGGGAGGGGAGAACATTAGGTGATTAATTCCTGAAAATTGGGATGCTAATTAAATCACTCACTATAACATAGTTTCTATGTAGATGCATGCTAGCATCTATACATAATTCTGTTTAAATTTCTGAAGACATGAGTCTCTGATCATAAATTCTGCCATGTAGCCATATTCCTAAGCTAGAAGGATATCCCAAGAACTTGTAACAATCTGTAGCTGCTGCAGATCTTTATCCAGTTTTTTTTTAATAGTGCTTCAAGTGGAAGTACACCTGCATTTTAAATTTACCTTTTCTCAAGTTAGATTTTTAAAAAATATGCATAAAGAAGCATGCAAATACTACTGAAAGCATTCATAAAGTCTACAGTCAACATATATAAGCTTTTTAATTAAAAATTTGATATGAATTCAATATAATCTTTGGACAATTTGAACTTTATTCATTTTTTTATGTAAATCTATATGCTTTTGAAGGATGTGCAATATGAAAGGAATACCACAAGTATAGAAATACTTGTACCTTATTATAACCTTGTAAATTAGGCAAAAGTGAAAATACATCCCACGTTTTTAAATCTGAGATAGGCTGAGAGGAAAAACAGGTTTTAGAAATTATATACTTGGTAAAGAAGAACCAGGACTGAAAAGTCAGGACTTCTTCAAGTTTCTTACTACCATCTACTGAAGGGCTTTGTGGACCAATAAATATTAAAAATTAGATTTAATTAGAATATGATGTAATGAAAAGTCTACTAGGAAAGAATAGAGGTGGAGGGAATTAATAGAGAATGAGGATAACTTACATCAATATAAAATCTGGATGGTAAAAACTTTCATTTTTAAACAATGTGTCCCCTACAATATTTATATATTTTTTTAAAAAGGAAATACCTTGGAACAGGGTTAGCAGTTGCGTACAATCCTGTAATGTTGCTATTCTCAGGAGGGCTTGAATTTGCAGCAGCATGCTTGCACCGGTTGTATATTGTCTAAAGCAATGAATGTATGGTTTAAAAATGAGAATCAAAAGGTTACACCAAGTATTTAAAGGACATCAGAGTTTATAAATCTATCTATCTAAACTTACCTTCCTGGCTATGCTTTTCTTTTTCTTATCTTTTGAGACAGAGTCTTGCTCTGTCACCCAGGCTGGAGTGCAGTGGTGCGATCTCAGCTCACTGCAAGCTCTGCCTCCCGGGTTCACGCCATTCTCCTGCCTCAGCCTCCTGAGTAGCTGGGACTACAGGCATCTGCCACTATGTCCGGCTAATTTTTTTGTATTTTTAGTAGAGACAGGGTTTCACTATGTTAGCCAGGATGGTCTCGATCTCCTGACCTCGTGATCCGCCCGCCTCAGCCTCTCAAAGTGCTGGGATTACAGGTGTCAGCCATGGTTCCCAGCCCTTGGCTATGCTTTTTAATGATCAAATGACCATATAATCTTTTAATTCAAAATATAAGTACAAACTGTCATAACTTAGCTGTCTTAAGAAATAACATTATTTCCAACATGCTGTATGATTAAAATTTATCTTTTAAATTGTGAAAATAAAGTTCACTCCTTACCGTACTAACATCCAGAGGCAGTATGAAGACAATAAGAAAGCAGAGATACCAAGCAAGCAGTGTCCCAATAATTACAAGTCTATGCTGTTTCTTAAAGTCTCCATATCGATGAAGTAGAAATAATGCCAGAAAAAAGACAAAAACAATCTCAAGTCCCAAAGCTGCACCACTCATTATTGGATATTTCACTCTCACTAACCAAAGTTATTCATGTACAGGTCTGGACCATATCTATAAAGTGAAAAGAAGATTAAAATGCATCATTAACACGGGAAATAACATTTGGAAATTTCATATGAATATTTATTAGTACATTAATACATTAATAAACTCTTTGGAGAAATGTCATGCTTCACATTGGACTATGAATAAGATTAAAAGGGTAATTCCTATCCTCAAGTACTTATATTTTATTTTTTAAAGCACACTTAAAAAATTTCACATACCTTGTATTTTCAAAAACTTAACGAAAATTATACTAGTTCTTACAATATTACAAATTAAGAAGTTCTTATTTTAGATGTCAACAGTTTTAATATAGTGTCATTTAGAGTTTCTTAATAAGTCCTAACAGAATAGTTTATGCAAATAAGCTGTTGACTAAATCCTAAGATATTAGATACTTAGTAAAATACATTTTTCTAAGATTATTTATCCTCTACAATTTAAGATTTTCTAAAAGAGAGGCAAGAGAAAAATGGAAAGAGATCATTTAAAAGTAACCTTTTGTTTTTTGAAACAGTATTTTTCTTGTGTGTTAATTTTGCCTAACAACTCAACTTTCATGAAATTCTTCCTGCTTCACAAAATGTATCACTTCCCATTTATCTACATAAATCTTTAAACTTACTTTAATAAATTCTCATCTTTAATTTTTCTACTATTTTATACGCAGAAAATTTATCAGACTATTGAATAAAGTCATACATGTGAAAACATTCTTAATTTTATGATACAGTCATCAGCGAATAGTTTATCTGATATCTCTTTACTCAAAAAAGAGTATAGAGATTTAAAGTCTCTATTTTAAAATTTAAAAATTTGATCTCTCTATACTTAAAACAATTTACTAATCAAAGGCAATATGAACTTTTCACCTTTGTAAAATCAATGTTAGACTTTTGTTTATCTACATACTACAATATTCCAAGGAATTGATTAATATCCTAACATAGAGAATCAAGATTGTGATGCAACCCAACAAAATACAATAAGGGGCAGTGGCTCACACCTGTAATCCCAGCACTTTGGGGGACCAAGGCAGGTGGATCACCTGAGGTCAGGAGTTCGAGACCAGTCTGGGCCAATATGGTGAAACCCTGTCTTTACTAAAAATACAAAAATTAGCCAGGCATGGTAACGGGTGCCGGTAATCCCAGCTACTTGGGAGGCTGAGGCAGGAGAATCGCTTGAACCTGGAAGGCGGAGGTTGCAGTGAGCCGATATCATGCCATTGCACTCAAGCCTGGGCAACAAGAGCAAAACTCTGTCTCAAAAATAAATAAATAAATAAATAAATAAATAAATAAATAAATAACAAAACAAGGGAGAACCAATAAAATACTTCAAATCAACAAACATCTTTATTTAGAATAATAGAAAAGAAAGTTTCAGTACTTTAAAGGGTTAAATTTAAATTTAATACAAAATACTCCTACATGAAATATCACAAAAATCACATTTAACAAACAATTTTCTTCACTATTTCTTTATATTGGTAAACAGATTCCATTTCAACTATCAATATTTTCATTTTTCTTTTTTTTTTTGAAATTTAGAAACAAATTTTATTTAAGATCTGAAATACAATTTCTAAAATATCAACTTTTCCAGAAAACCGTGGCTACACTATAATGTATTGCCTCTATCATGTTAGAACGTGCATTAGACTCAAATACAAAAACCATGAAACAAATCACCATCCTTCAACAATCTGAGCAAAGATAGAATGCTTAAGAACAACATAGATGGACTTGCAGAGGATGGGCTGTTTTACTTCAAGCACCATAAAAAAAAAAGAGCACAAATGCATGGGTTTTCAGGTATATACATTAAGTTGAACCTTTGGCACTAGGAATCAGGGCGTTTTGTCACATAGCATTAACACATATTAGAAAATTGTGTAGTGTCAAAGGGATAGGAACCACTAGCATTCAAGCAATGTTGTCAACTAGGCAATAAAATGTTCTACTGTTTCTTCTTTGTTCTAATTACTGCATACACTGGTAGCAACTTTGAAATGAGAAAAGGAGCTTATGCTCCTTTTATTTTCGGTTTAAAACAGAACAGAAAAAAACTGAAACATAAGCGCTGTTATACATTAACGATTTTAAAGAACATCAATTTTACAAGAAAAAGACTAAGAACAAAAAGTGTTTACAGATACAGGACAAAACTGGTGAGCTGTCTGTAGACGCTCACAGGGCTTTGCGGTGGTACTCAGCAGAAGCCACTTTGTAATCACTGGCAGTAAAGAGAGATGCAGAATTCTTTGCCAGATATTTTGGGAAGTCATGCAAATAGCCCAACAATAATGCAAGGCTTTTCTCATCAAGGGGCGTATAGGCCAACATTGCTCCAATTCTTACAAATAATCTCAGTAGGTGTGGTGCTCCATAAACCTGAGACATTGGAGCATCAGGGTGAGCCAAGAGGATTTCAGGATACTGGGGCCTCTCAAATTTGTAGAGCAGCTGAGTGCCCAACATCACATTGAAATATTCTTTTATTCCTGGGTTGGGCACAGTGGCTCACGCCTGTAATCCCAGCACTTTGGGAGGCCGAGGAGGGTGGATCATGAGGTCAGGAGATCGAGACCATCCTGGCTGACACGTGAAACCCCGTCACTATTAAAAATACAAAAAAATTAGCCGGGCGTGGTGGTGGGCGCCTGTAGTCCCAGCTACTCAGGAGGCTGAGGCAGGAGAATGGCGTGAACCCGGTAGGCGGAGCTTGCAGTGAGCCGAGATCGCACCACTGCACTCTGGCCTGGGCAACAGAGCAAGACACCGTCTCAAAAAAAAAAAAAAGAAAAAAGAAAAAAGAAATATTCTTTTATTCCTGCCACAACATCATTAACTGCATATTCCTTATTATCAACATTTCCCTGTGACTTGCAATTTGCATACTCCTCCAGAATTGCATCTACATTTTTCTTAGCAGGGAGTTGAAACAGCTGCTTCTGTCTGGTTACTAAGTCCCAGTCCTCAACAAGCCATGGTTTTAATTCTTCAGGAATCTTCACTTTAACCTCCATTCTATTCTTAAACGCCTCCTCACTTTCAACAGTGGGGTCTGCCCGGGCCCTTTTCTTCCGAGGGGGCTGAGGTGCTTCGCTGGTACTGCTACCATCTCTGTTTCCAGGAGTCTTCTGTTTGTTCTTTCTGGTCTTCCTCACGGATCCTGAAGGGGGTTCTCTACAGAGCGACCCCCTCATCTTCCTGAGAGAGCTGGTTCAAGATTTTTCTGCTGTGGACCAGCGGTCTTCTTTCCCGAGGAGACCCCTCTCATCTTACTTCTCTGCATGTTGCTTCTAGTTTGTTTTTTGAAGTTCTCTTCTTCTGCAGATTGCTGTCCACGAGGTTGAGAATCCTACTTTCTGGAACTCATTCAACCTTGTTTTTATTCCAACCAACAATCTTCCTTCTTTCCCTTCCAAGAACTCCTAGTGATTTCCCAGATGAAATCTTACAGATCTTCTGGGATGGTCTAGAAGGGTGAAGTGGGAGATACAACCCAAGATTCTTTAATCAGGGAAGGTTCTGCAATCAGGATCAGATCTCTTGATCCTCACTATACAGCAAACTTAGCTTTTCTGATGATGACCTGACACAAGAATTCAGATCTTCCCAGCAGCCGACGTGTGATCACTGCCGTTCCTCCAACTGCCATGGTCTCATTTTTCTTAAATACCTAAAATTGAACTTCTTTCATCACTCTACTCTCTTATCCTGCTATATTTTCCTTCAGTGCATTTATCCATCTGATATAATGCACATTCTTTATATTTATTGTCTCCCCAAATCTTTCCCCTTAACCCAGATACTCTATGAGAGCAGAGACTTAGACTACTTTATTCCATATTATATTCCAGTTATCTGATGTAGTATCTGGCATATAGTAATATCAAGAAATATTTGTTGAAAGAATAAAAGATACTGTGTAGTTTAGTACATACATTATTTTTCTATTACTGCCTACTTCAAAGGCAATGTAAAACTCTTGTAATGGTAAACTGATTTAACAAATACTTATTACAACTCAAAAGGCTTAAAACACTGAACATTACCAAATACTACTCAAATTTTCAAATTTCATATTCTATAAAACAACTTATACCACAACAATGTCAAATCTTATTTTTAAAAAATAGACTAGGTTTTGCCTTGTTGCCCAGGTTGGTCTTGAACTCCTGAGCTCAAGTGATCTGCCTGTCTCAGCTCCCAAAGTGCTGCAATTACAGGCATATGCCACAGCACCCAGCCAAATCTTATTTTTAAGCTAAGCATAGATTAAGTAGTTGGCTGAAAGCTCAACACAGAATGTGCTGATGACAAAACCATCTTTGAGATCTAGGGTTTTTTTTTCTTTAAAAAAACCCATTCGATGTGAGTTTAAATATAACATAATTAACTGAAAATCCTTTTATGACTTGAACTACACCTGAAATTGTCCAGTGCAAGGAACATGGCAATGATAGGAAAAAAAGACTAAATATTAGAGATTACCAAAGAAAGGCTAAATAAAGTATGGCAGAGCCAAATGAGGACATCTCATTGTAGTATAAGAAATGATGTTTGTCAGGTCCCAGAGCAAGATGGCCGAATAGGAACAGCTCCAGCCTCCAGCTCCCAGCATGAGCGACACAGAAGACGGGTGATTTCTGCATTTTCAACTGAGGTACCAGGTTCATCTCACTGGGGAGTGCCAGACAATCGGTGCTGGTCAGCTGATGCAGCCCAACCAGCAAGAGCTGAAGCAGGGCGAGGCATCGCCCCACCTGAGAAGCACAAGGGGGAAGGGAATCCCTTTTCCTAGCCAAGGGAAAATGAGGCAAACAACACCAGAAAATCAGGTAACTCCCACCCTAATACAGCGCTTTACCAAGGGTCTTAGCAAACGGCAAACCAGGTGATTATATCCCACACCTGGCCTGGAGGGTCCCACGCCCACGGAGCCTCCCTCATTGCTAGCACAGCAGTCTGAGATCTAACTGCAAGGCGGCAGCGAGGCTGGGGGAGGGGCGCCCGCCATTGCTGAGGCTTAAGTAGGTAAACAAAGCCACAGGGAAGCTCGGACTGGGTGGAGCCCACTGCAGCTCAAGGAGGCCTGCCTGCCTCCGTAGACTCCACCTCTGGGGACAGGGCATAGCTAAACAAAAAGCAGCAGGAACCTCTGCAGATGTAAATGACCTTGTCTGACAGCTTTGAAGAGAGCAGTGGGTCTCCCAGCATGGAGGTTGAGTTCGGAGAACAGACAGACTGCATGCTTGAGTAACCTAACTGGGAGACATCCCCCACTAGATGCAGACCGACACCTCACACCTCACACCTCACAGGGCTGGGCGCACCTCTGAGACGAAGTTTCCAGAGCAAGAATCAGACAGCAACACAAGCTGTTCAGCAATATTCTATCTTCTGCAGCCTCCACTGCTGATACCCAGGCAAACAGGGTCTGGAGTGGACCTCAAGCAAACTCCAACAGACCTGAAGCTGAGGGTCCTGACTGTTAGAAGGAAAACTAACAAACAGAAAGGACACCCACACCAATACTCCATCAGTAAGTCACCATCATCAAAGAACAAAGGCAGATAAAACTGCAAAGATGGGGAAAAAGCACGGCAGAAAAGCTGGAAATTCAAAAAATCAGAGGGCATCTCCCCCTCCAAAGGAACACAGCTCATTGCCAGCAACGGATCAAAGCTGGATGGAGAATGACTTTGACGAGCTGAGAGAAGAAGACTTCAGTTGATCAAACTTCTCAGAGCTAAAGGAGGAACTACGTACCCAGTGCAAAGAAACTAAAAATCTTGAAAAAAGAATGGAAGAATGGATAACTAGAATAATCAATGCAGAGAAGGCCATACACGAAACTGATAGAGATGAAAACCATAACACGAGAATTATGTGACAAATGCACAAGCTTCAGTAACCGACTCGATCAACTGGAAGAAAGAGTATCAATGATTGAAGATCAAATGAATGAAAAGAAGCGAGAAGTCTAGAGAAAAAAGAGGAAAAAGAAATGAACTAAGCCTCCAAGAAATATGGGATTATGTGAAAAGACCAAATCTACGTCTGATTGGTGTGCCTCAAAGTGAGGGGAAAATGGAACCAAGTTCGAAAACACTCTTCAGGATATCATCCAGGAGAACTTCCCCAATCTAGTAAGGCAGGCCAACATTCAAATTCAGGAAATACAGAGAACGCCACAAAGATACTCCTCGAGAAGAGCAACTCCAAGACACATAATTGTCAGATTCACCAAAGTTGAAATGAAGGAAAAAATGTTAAGGGCAGCCAGAGAGAAAGGTCGGTTACCCATAAAGGGAAGCCCATCAGACTAACAGCAGATCTCTCAGCAGAAACTCTACAAGCCAGAAGAGAGTGGGGACCAATATGCAACATTCTTAAAGAAAAGAATTTTCAACCCAGAATTCCATATCCGGCCAAACTAAGTTTCATAAGTGAAGGAGAAATAAAATCCTTTTCACACAAGCAAATGCTTTGAGATTTTGTCACCACCAGCCTGCCTTACAAGAACTCCTGAAGGAAACACTAAACATGGAAAGGAACAACCGGTACCACCCATTGCAAAAACATACCAAAATGTAAAGACCATCGAGGCTATGAAGAAACTGCATCAACTAATGAGCAAAATAACCAACTAATATTACAATGACGGGATCAAGTTCACACATAACAAAATTAATCTTAAATGTAAATGGACGAAATGGTCCAATTAAAAGACACAGACTGGCAAATTGGATAAAGAGTCAAGACTCATCAGTTTGCTGTATTCAGGAGACCCATCTCACATGAAGAGATGCACATAGGCTCAAAATAAGGGGATGGAGGAAGATCTACCAAGCAAATGGAGAACAAAAAAAATCAGCAGTGGCAATCCTGGTCTCTGATAAAACAGACTTTAAACCAACAAAGATCAAAAGAGACAAAGAAGGCCATTACATAATGGTAAAGGGATCAATTCAACAGGAAAAGCTAACTATCCTAAATATATATGCACCTAATACAGGAGCACCCAGATTCGTAAAGCAAGTCCTTAGAGACCTACAAAGAGACTTAGACTCCCATACAATAATAATGGGAGACTTCAACACCCCACTGTCAACATTAGACAGATCAATGAGACAGAAAGTTAACAAGGATATCCAGGAACTGAACTCAACTCTGCACCAAGTGGACCTAATAGACATCTACAGAACTTTTTGCCCCAAATCAACAGAATAGACATTCTTCTCAGCACCAAATCACACTTATTCCAAAATTGACCACATAATTAGAAGTAAAGCACTGCTCAGCAAATGTAAAAGCACAGAAATTATAATAACCTGTCTCTCAGACCACAGTGCAAAAACTAGAACTCAGGATTAAGAAATTCAATCAAAACCGCTCAACTACATGGAAACTGAACAATCTGCTCCTGAATGACTACTGGGTACATAACGAAATGAAGGCAGTTCTGATGACATACAAAAATACATTTGAATTGGAATCTGTAAAGCATGTAATTTGAACATTGGTACAATGCTCTCAGTGGGTTTATAAAATCCTTGGGTCTAACATACAGGTGCAATCATGTTACGATGGAATTTATTCTTTATTTCTTTCAAAGAAATAAAGATGTTCTTTGAAACCCATGAGAACAAAGATACAACATACCAGAATCTCTGGGACACATTTAAAGCAGTGTGTAGAGGGAAATTTATAGCACTAAATGCCCACAAGAGAAAGCTGGAAAAATCTAAAATTCACACCCTAACATCACAAGTAAAAGAACTAGAGAAGCAAGAGCAAACACATTCAAAAGTTAGCAGAAGGCAAGAAATAACTAAGATCAGAGCAGAACTGAAGGAGATAGAGACACAAAAAACCCTCCAAAAAAATCAATGAATCCAGGAGCTGGTTTTTTTTGAAAAGATCAACAAAACTGATAGACCTCTAGCAAGACTAATAAAGAAGAAAAGAGAAAAGAATCAAATAGATGTAATAAAAAATGATAAAGGGGATATCACCACGATCCCACAGAAATACAAACTACCATCAGAGAATACTATAAACACCTCAACGCAAAAAAACCAGAAAACCTAGAAGAAATGGATAATTTCCTGGACACCTACACTCTCCCAAGACTAAAGCAGGAAGAAGTTGAATCCCTGAATAGACCAATAGGAGGCTCTGAAATTGAGGCAATAATTAATAGCCTACCAATCAAAAAAAGTCCAAGACCAGACGGATTCAGAGCTGAATTCTACCAGAGTTACAAGTGGGAGCTCGTACCATTCCTTCTGAAACTATCCCAATCAATAGAAAAAGAGGGACTCCTCCCTAACTCATTTTATGAGGCCAACATCATCCTGATACCAAAGCCTGACAGAGACACAACAAAAAAAGAGAATTTTAGACCAATATCCCTGATGAACATCGATGCAAAAATCCTCAATAAAATACTGGCAAACAGAATCCAGCAGCACATCAAAAAGCTTATCCACGATCAAGTGGGCTTCATCCCTGGGATACAAGGCTGGTTCAACATACGCAAATCAATAAACGTAATCCAGCATATAAACAGAACCAAAGACAAAAACCACATGATTATCTCAATAGATGCAGAAAAGGCCTTTGACAAAATTCAACAGCCCTTCATGCTAAAATCTCTCAATAAATTCGGTATTGATGGAACGTATCTCAAAATAATAAGAGCTATTTATGACAAACCCACAGCCAATATCATACTGAATGGGCAAAACCTGGAAGCATTCCCTTTGAAAACTGGCACAAGACAGGGATGCCCTCTCTCACCACTCCTATTCAACATAGTATTGGAAGTTCTGGCCAGGGCAATCACGCAAGAGAAAGAAATAAAGGGTATTCAGTTAGGAAAAGAGAAAGTCAAATTGTCCCTGTT